ACTCGTCAATTTTGATGCCTTTTAGTGTTTCTGCTGTTTTTGTTTTTCACCTCTTCCGCATCAGCAAAACATTTCTTTTTGAGGACTTTTTGCATCCAGGGAGACAAACAAAAGTTGCTCAGGGCGCGGTAGGGCAAATAAAGAAAGTGGGTCATTGGAGTCCTGCTTTTTTTGGTCAAAAGTTGCTGAACACTCAGTGCGGTGTGGGCAGGTTGTTCATGTAAATTACTCATCACGAAATAGGCAAACACTTTGAAAGAATTAAAAAAAAAAATCACGGAAGCCCAACGCAGCCTCTCACAACAACACTAGCTGGTACACTATATGTTGAATTCCTAGAACATTTACCTAGTGGGGAAGCCTGTACAACAAGGGGCCCACCAACCAAAAAAAAAAAATTCCTTTGTTATTTTGGTCTTTTTTTTTTGGTTCCCCTTGTTTATAAACTGAGGCTCCAGGCGACCTCTCATATGCCTCATTGTTCTACTGATTTCATTTACAAAATACAAAATCAAAGATAAAATTATTCAGAATTTCAAGACAATGACTTCACAGTTTTAAACCCCAAGTCTGGGGTTCTTTTGAGCACAGTGCATTTTGTAATTGTACTGGCCACACGCCCATGAAACTAGTCCTACTTATATCCAATTCCTGCCAGCATAGTTGTGATTTTATTGGTTTGTTGGGCATGGGAATTTTTAATATCTCAGTGATTCTCAAAAAAAAGATTGAGAACTGCTGTCCTAGAGAATATCATGCATGTGTGTAACAGAAAAGATGTACTAAATGCTTATGCTACACTATTTATAGTTTGCTAAATGATCAAAAAGACTAATATCTGTCAGCAGTAAAACGAATAGATATATTCACAGGTATTTTCATGCTACAGAATATCACCTCAGCCGGGCTCGGTGGCTCAGCTTGTAATCCTGCACCTTTAAGAGGCTGAGGTGAGTGAATTGCCTGAGCCTGCGAGTTTGAGACCTGCTTGGGCAGCGAGACCTCATCTCTACAATAAATCAAAAACTCAGCCAGTTGTGGTAGCGCATGCTTGTAACTCCGGCTATTCAGAAGGCTGAGGCAGAAGGATCGCTGGAGCCCAGCAGGTCGAGGCCGCGGTGGCCGGGAGCGGCCACTGCACTCCAGTCTGGGCGACAGAGTGAGACTCCAACTCAAAAAAAAAAAAAAAGAATATCACACCTCAGTAAAAAGAAATTTACCAGCTATACATCACAACATAAATTCATTTCAAAATGATAAATCGGGTGATAAATAAAGGTTTGTTACAAGAAAGGCCTAAGGATTTGGTTTCTTATTTTGTTTGAAACTTTTCCTGTTGATTCAAGTACAATTGGTCCTCCATATCTATTGGTTCTACAGCCATGGAGTCAAGCAACTGAGAATCATAAGTGTTTAGGAAAAAATTTAAAATAATACAACAAAAATAGTATGAAATTTTTAGAAAGTACAACATAACAACTATTTATATATATGTAATATATGTATAGGTAATATATGTAATAGCTTTTATGTTGTATTGGGTATTACAAGTATTCTAGAAATGATTTAAAGTATATAAGAGGATATGCATAGGTTATATACAAAAATATACCATTTCATATAAGAGACTTGAGCATAAACAAATTTTCATGTCCATGAGGGTCTTGGAACCAATTCCTTATTGATCTTGGAACCAATTCCTTATTGATCTGTACGAATAACTGTGATGGAAGGCCTTTAAAGTTTCTTGAATTCTAGAATCTTACCATTTGAGTTCCCAGTTTTATTAGGTTATATTTGGAGAGAAAACTTCCTAAAGTTTATTCTTATTAGGTGAGTGAAGAAAAATGAAATAGTTCTACAGCATTCATATAGTACTATGTAGTACTATAATGTTTGTGGATTTTTGAATGTCCATTTCCTCTTCCTCTTCATAAATACATTTTGCTTGGTAAAGATGATAGTAACCAAAAATATGAAAATCAAATAAAATAATAATTAAAAGTGCATGAAAGGAAAACCAGGCATAGAACTGGAACTAGAATGCTTGGACTAGCATTTCAGATAGTGTATGCCCAAGAAACTGAATTGTTACTGACCTGTAGAACTCATATAATTTTCTGCACACCATTTACTATAGAGAAAGCACTTATAAATAACCATTCTTATGTAACAGTGTATATTGCTGTTGGTTTAATTTATCTTGTTATTTGGTATTTTCCTGCTATCATGTTATGAGTCATTCATTATAAGTACTTCTAGTTTCAACAGTTCAACAGACCTAATGTTAGCCAGAGAGGAAGATTATTTAGAGAATATGACAACATATACAATGCTTCAATTCTTCTCTTTGTATCATGATTTCAGTTGAAATACATTTGTAATGCTAAGCATAGAAGTTGTAGATATTTGCCAGAGAGCACTGTTAGAATCAAAACCATACACTTTGAGTTGTACGTCTTTTACCTAATATACAACAAACCACAATTTTGATCATATTGGCTAGTGTGAATCTCCTATCTGTAAAGAAAAATTAAAACACAAACGTAAAAATGTGTGTATCTGTACATAGCTATAGATCTATATGTGTCAAACATTTTCCACAAGTATAAAGATCTGGTTTTCTATGAAATAGTAGATACTGTTTTCTCCTAGAAACAGTACCTATAGGTTTGGTGGTTTTAACTAGCACCTAAGATACTTAGAAAGGGGCATAGATAGTTGTAAGGACTATGGATAATAGAGAGGTTTGGAAAAAGTACATGATATAATTCTTAGGTACTCTATAAGACTCATAGAAAAATTCCTCTTGACCATTTGCTCATTTTGAGACTCTAGGCAAATTATTTAAATCCCCAAATTTCCATTTTTCCCCTAAATTAGAGTAAATAATAACTTCAGAATGTGTTTTCCATCTTATCATTATAGGTTGATCGGCAGACATGTTAAAAAGCAAGGGGAGAAAAACTAAATTGAATATATTCTACACAGATTAGCAAAGCCACATATAGTAGATTATTAAATTAATGACTTCTGATGAATCTCACCTTGTATATCCATATCCTTGTGTAGCCCCCTTCCACAGCGACTTTCTTCAGTGGAATATTTACAAATACGATGGAAGCGGATACTAGACAAATATTTGCACACTGGAGCTTAGCTACTAGGAGCCCTGCTGCTGCCATGTAAGAGTTCCAGACTAAACTGCTAAAAAGATCACATGGAAGAGAACCATGCCATCCCAGCCAGTGGTGTCTGCAAAACATCATCTTGGACCATTCAGCCTCAGCAGGGCCACCAGATGGTTATAGCTATATGGGTAACCCCAGACAAGACCATTAGAAGAATCATCCTGCTGAACCAAGCCCAATATATGAAGAATTGTGAGCAAAAAAATAAAAAGGTTATTGTTTCAAGTCATTAAGTTTTGGTGTGGTTTTTTACTTAGCAGTATATACTTCATATATCCAGATATCTGAAAGGATAAACTGCGGGAGGCCAGCCCCTGCAGAGACTGGGGGTCCCTGGTAGGAAAGACAGCATCAGCGATTAAACTGGAGGGATAGATATTAGAAAGAAGAAAGAGACTGGACAACTGATCAAAGATTGAACAGAAACCATTTAATGGGACAAACTGTAAGCCTTTTATCCTAAAGTTTCGTGGGCAAAATCACAAGACTTTCACGTGAACACAAAGCCAGGTGAGTGAAGGGTGCCCCCCATCTACCCTCCAGATGTTTCCTCAGGCATGAGGAAGAACAATCCCAAAATTGTCTTATTGTTCCTAATGCTTGGTTAATGTTCCTCAAAAATAATGCAACAATCTCCACTAGCATCATGATATTCTAATAATCATTACGTCTAAAGTTCATGTGTACACAACACCTAAAATGACCAACTTAAATCCTATTACCTTTTCTATTCTATGCTAATTCTACCTACACTATGGAAACTCTTAATTATAGCTCAAACCAGTTCCTAAAGAATGAGGCCCAGTCCAAAGATCACACTGGGCCGTTTCTAGGAAGAATTGATTATAATCTCTTAGCAAAATGGCTACTCTAAAATCTTATATATCTATCTTCTATAAAAGTTTCTAATTAAATCTCTAAGTATCATGTTCGAACTATCATAAATCCCTGATGTTGGCATAACCTATTCTACAATACTTTCTATGAATAAAATAAGTTCAACTTCTATAATGAATAGAGAAAAACCCTATACTAATTGTTAGCTAAAGCCGGTTCAGAAGAATGTGGCCCAGTCCAAAGTACACGCTGGGCTCTTAAGAATGTGGCCCAGTCCAAAGCTTATACTAGGCCATTTCTTGTGACTACAGATAATCATCTCTACCACCTAAAGCTGAAAACAGCTCTCCATATGTATATACTAATTCTACAAATATACCTTTAAATCTTATAAAGAAGGTGGTACCGTATTGAAGGCTCCCAAATGTGACGTGAGTTTGAATTATATCTAATACCTAAACCGAAACCACAGTTCATGGGAAACAGGAACGATGAGTTTCTAGAGTTAGCCATGCCTGTCACAGTCACAGAGCCTTCAGCTTAGGTCAGCAGAGATCCTTTTGGCTAAGTGTGCTAAATAGAAAAAGGAAGAAGGGAATGGGGTCAACAGCTCCCAAACACATCCTAGTGGTCTCGGGGTCCACAGCCCTCCCTGATCCCTAATGCTCAGTGGGCCTCCATGGCCGGCTCCCAACAATAAACCTTCTATGTTATTGATATTGGAACCACTAAATTATAACTAAGAGTGACCCTTCATATAAATTTTTAAAATGTACCACTTTCTGATAAGTGAGTAAAATAACAAACACATAGAGCACAATCAGAAAATAGATTTTCAAATGCAATAGTAAATGCAAAAATATCTTTGTAAACAATTTTTCTGTGCAGGATCACCACTTTGTACTGTTTAGGCAAAAATAGATATGCACATGGAGAGAGAGAGAAAGAGAGAATTTTAAGTGAGAAACTTACTGAAACATGACTTTCTATGAAGCATGTGCTGGAAAATCTTGCACAAAGATTCCTCACTTTGTGGAATGGTCCTACAGGTACATTGCACTTGAAGGGGGGTCCCGAGGGTACCTATGTAGGCTGCTTTGCAGTCATCAGTTCCTGAACAAGTGAGGTCCTGTTTGCTTAAGGTGCCGATGCAAGTCTCATCTTCATGACACTTTCCAGTCACACGCTGCCAGCATTTTGACTGAAATGTTCTATAGGGCCTCCTAGGGAAAGAGTAATTAGTCATTGAAGAATATTATTTTATATTAATATGAGCTATTCCCTCATCGAATGAAGGACTGACATAAACAACATGTCTCTTGGATGTCAGTACATAGTTGAAAACTAAATTTGTATATCAAAAATGCCCCAATAAGGAGTGTGGAAGAAAAAGTAGAAAATCTTTGTGAATTATTATCCTTTTGTGATGAAAGGCAGAGGTAAAGTTTTAGGATTCCCTGGGTAGGTTTTCTTTCATTACCAATTTTATTTCATTGGGTGATGATTTGCAGTATGAACTACTTGAGAGATTTATTAGCAATTTTTTAAGCCGAATGCAGTTTTGTGGCTAGCATTTGGCCACTGTCTCACACCAAATGATTTCAAATAAGATGCTTAACCTTCCAAGACAGTTATCCCACAGGGTGGGAGGTGCTGTACTCTTTCTCAACATTTCTAAGCAGACTAATAAGAATTCACAATATACTTTGAGATATAGTGCAAAGCAAAACATTAGGAACTGATTTAACGGCCAAGATAATCCATGAGAACTGTGGATCATAACTTCATAACTTTCCTGACTATGTATTTGATTCTTGCTTTAATAGCTTTGGATAAAAGTCTGGGTAATGCCCAATACTTTTGTTTTTGTAGTTTTACAGTAAGAAGATGTTTTTCTTAATGGAAACAAAATATGAATCTTCCAGATTAACATTTATCTCCTAAAATTATTTTTCACTCTTTCTTGAATAAGTCTGCATCAAATACACAAGAAAGCCCTCTGAGTACATGACATTTGTTATGAGTTTATTTGTCCAAATAGTGCTATTCTGTTAAAATGCCAAAGCCATGTTGTTTCAAATAATCTCATTTTTAAAAATTTATTTATTTTAAAGTTATGGGGTACAATTCAGGATTAGGTAGATACCTATTTGAATCATCTCCAAGGATAAGTTTTTTAATTTAATGGTGAAAATTAATTAGCATATATTAAAATTTATAATCAAGAAAACACTACAAATTTCCTGAGCAATTAATTCTAAGACCAGAACAATAATTGTATTCCTTTAATGCAATCAAGGTTTCTATATAAGATACATTTATATGTAAGTTTTAGAAGTATTGATTGTCATTTAGAAGGTTGATAGAGTTTATAGCTGTATCAATATGCCATTTATTCTCATTAAAACATATGCTTTATTAAGTATAATTTGCATGACTTGTCTATTCATTGAAGTTATTTCTTTTAAAATATGTCATGAAATTTTGCCACAACAATGAACTAAAGAATATTTAACTAAAAATAATAACAACAACAAAATACCTTTGATACACTAGACACCTAAACCACTTGAAACTGAAATTAACAAATAATTTTATATTAAAATTTTATTTTAGATTTGAAATATTTTGACATACAGTGCTTTCATTATCCATATTTTATTTATAGACTTCCATTTTTAAAAATTTTGATTTATTGTTTAAACAATGAAATATTTAAAACAACAATTTTAAAAAGGGAATTGAGTACATCATTTTGTTTGTATTTTTCCTATTTATTTCCAGATATATTGCAAAATGTGAGAAAATGTGGTCTGTGTAAGTTTTGCACATGAAATGTTTTGCATTTATCTTAGCAACCTAATATGTAGCCACATTTTGTAAATATCTTTTAATATTTTAAATAAATAAGTATATTGTGAAGATTTTCTTTTAAGCAATATTTAGAATAATTCTAAGTAAGTACCTTTCACTACTTTTTTGAATTTATATATGAAAACAATGTATTATAATTTCTTTACATCCCCAAATTTTTACACATTGGTAAAACATAAACTTGCTTTCCATTAGACTTCCATATTGGACAAAATTAACTGAGAAATTACCTTTATAATGATTTTTCAAAAAATAGCAAAATCTCAAACCCATAATAAATTAAAATATCTGGAACAGGGACAGAAATTGTACTTTAAACCTGAAGTGCCCTGCTTTGGTCATATGCAGGCTCTTCTGCAAACAAAAGTAAGTGATAAAGGGCTTACCATCCTCACAGAAGAAGTGATTTTACTTTTGGAGATTTTTTTCCATCTGGATTACATTAACAATGATTTAATGTACACACTGGAAATCTCCTCAGGGCAAAATTTCCTGGGGAAAGTGGTAGGATTTGTCTTTGCACATCAACTACTAATATAAGTATTGTATTTGTACTAATTTAAGTATTGTATTTCCATCTCTTCTATAAAATACTGATTAAGGGACTGTTTGCACATGATGAAAGGACATTGAAGACACATAGTCGTTAATCTTTGAACTAATCTAAGAAAGAAATTACATAAGAGATGTGTGTATATAGATTAAAATTAAAAAATTAAGTATGCAACATTCAAATGTGGAGCGAAAGGAGATGACATCTTTTGAGTGCTATCCTGTTCCAAACTCCACACCAAACATTTTGAAGAGTTGGTTAAACCTGTGACTTATTGAGGAAAATCACCAGCTCTGTATCAGTCAATCTGAAAAGGCATTGATGCCAAGGAAAGGTTAATGTGATGGTCTATGCTTGGAGTCTATCACAGGGCTTCTCAAGGACTGTAGCAGCAGAGCCCTTCACTTGCCATTAGAATGTTTGATTTGATATGGAAGCTCAGAAGTATTCTCTGAAGGTTGAGTGCTAATGACTTCAGGATAATGAGGTAGCACATCTAAGGTCCTGACATTAGAATCAGATAAATCAGGGTACTCACCTATGGAGACATCTGGTATTTTTATAATGATAGTTTTTTTTTAAGTAGTGTCCCATCACCATGGCTGCTTAAAATATTATTAACTTTATTGTTAGTGTTTATAGATGACAGATAGATAGTAATAGCTTATTTGTGACATAAGAAAAATAGTATAATCAAACATGTTTACCGTATTTTATTGATTTTAGAAGATACCTTTATTTTATGTACAACAAAAAGCACCTATGGACACTTAAATCATGAAAGACTTTTTTGTCATTGTCCTTAAAACTTATTCTAAGTATGCCAGGGATGTTAAAATGTATAACAAATAATTATATCTTAAAATCAACAAAATATAGTATTTCTCTAATAAGAATTTTTGAAATGGTAGGTGAGTTTAGGAAATCTAAATTTCATTTAAAAAGTTATTTTTGTCATTGCCTTTATTAGTCACTCAAGAAAAATAATGAATAAACTTTAAAATAACTGATACACATTTGAATGACAAGACCCTTGAAGAACATTTTCCCAAGAACCTTGACATCCTATCTGGTAAGTTGAAGCAATATGTCAATGCTTTAGCACTCTTATTTATATCTTTACCCTTTATTTCAAGGAATGTGTGTTATAGGAAGCAGTTATCTTTTTTGACAAATTTTTACAAGACCTGGAACTACTTTGCAAGTTATGACAACTGAGAGTAAGAGAATGAACATAGTTAAAAAAATAAAAGAAAGCATTTACCAAGGACCTTCAGGAAGTTGATAGAATCAAATTGTACAGTCTTTTGGCAGTGGTTGAAGCAAGGTAACAAATGTGACAAATCTTACTCTGAGCCATCACACACTGAGCTATTCCTCCATACTAAATGCTCATTTCAAACATTAAATGAATTTTATAAATGGAGATGTATTCATTTATATAAAATTAAGTAAAACAATCTCAGATATAAAGCACTGGAAATACAAATCAATGTAAAGCATTACTAAAAAAAAAAGCAAAAGATGAATGCAAACATTATACAATTTAATGCTGGTTACTAAAGAAATCTCCTATAGCATGATAACATCATTACAAATAGTTTTGGCTCATTGAATTCATTCAGTATTCTTATTCTTTCCAGCATCTTCTTTCTCTTGTCTAAAAGAGTTCATCTAACTATGAATTTCTGACCACACAAAAGATAACTTCATCTCTAATAAACAACAAAGTGTGTTAATGAAGACCTCAGAGAAGACAAGAAAAAGTCAAAAAATATTGGACTTAATCTATGGCTCCCAATAGTAGCTACCTGCATAGGTATATTCTAGTCTCAGTTAGCAGCCAGAGTTAGCGTTTTGACAAAGGAACTGGAACATTCATAACTCTGCTCAAAATGCTCAAGTTCCTCTCCATTTCACTTGCAGTAAAACCAAAGCTGTTGCATTGTCTCTCAAGGCCCTATGTGACCTAGACTTGCTCTCACGCAGTTAAATCTCTCACCTCACCTTATCTCCTACTGCTCTCCCTCTTGCATTCTCTTCCCTCACTCCTTTTTGAACTTGCAATGCACATGTCTTCTTTCCTTAGCACTGGCTGGTCTATTTTGCTTCGTATCTCTTCTGTCAGATATTTACTGAGAGAGACCCATTTCCTCACTTCAGGTATGGTAAAAATGTTTCCTGCAGGGTCCACCCATTTATATTGTAACTCTTTTAGTCTACCCACTATCCCCTTGGTTCTGTTCTTTTTTTAAAATTTCTAGAATACTCATTACCTTATTAAATCATATACATTTTGAAATGTATTATCTATCTCCCCCACTAGAATGTAAGCTCCATAGGACAAACATTTGTGTCTCTTATTCAATGTTGCTTAGAGGAGTAGTAGGTGCTTGATTAATATTTTTTTGGAAGGAATAAATACCCTAGGAATCAAGGGTATGAGGTTGGAAAGAGGAAAATGGGCACATATGTGTCATTATGGCAGATATGTACTCTGAGGTTGTCCAAATTGTATTCAAGTTGCCTTCTTCTTCCTGATCTCCAACCTAAGACAGAAAGGATTTATTTTGAAGTTTGAAGAGTCACCTCGCAAAATTCTGTGACATGTAATAGCCTTATATAATCTTTCTTTCTCTCTCTCTCTCTCTCTCTCTCTCTCTCACACACACACACACACACACACAATTTAAAAACTGATATACAATCCATTAACCAATTCATTTGTCTAATTTGAGTATATAATCCTAATAATCATCCTTCATGGCTACCAAATTTTGACACACTGGATTTCAAAAAACCTATTCTGCATGTGAATTTCAAAAATAATACTACACATGCTCCACAGATTCAAAAATATGAATTGTCTGGCTTTATTTACACCATGTTGGATGATGGCGAGAACTCCAGCTAATGTAATGAGATCAAGTGTTAGGACTGGACTGTAACAAATAAGGTGCCGAAATAAGAAAGTAAGGTATGTGTGTTTTTACTCACCTGCATAATTCATCATTTCGGCAGCTGTGAATTACATTGAGACAAGTAGGGGGTGGAACGATGTTCACTGCACATGGCTTGCTGTGAAGCGCTTCCTTGGACTGCTGACAGGGTATATCGGATGGAGCACAGTCACACAAAGCCAACATCTGGGCAATGTTAAAAGGCAGATTTTGATAGAAGAACCGTATGGCCGCTTGGCAGTGTTTCACATCACACGAATTGCCATTTGCTGAGCAAGCTTTAAGGTAAGGGGCCAACTGTGCATTACATACCACATCCCCTACACATGCCTTTGCCACTTCCAAACAGGACCAGATCCTTTTGAATCCTGTAAACAACGATATGTGCAGGTCGTGGAAAAGTAAACACAAAACTGTACAACAGAATTTGCAAAACACTGTAGGAAGTCTGTGAGTGACATACAATGATGTACCAATGTGCTATTCTTGACAAATATTACTTTTCTCTCTCTCTCTCTCTGTTTTGTAGAGTAAGCATGAATTTACTGAGACCTGAATAGTGGACTATTGGAATCATCTTTCACCTAAACTGGATACATGTTGTGATCTGGAGTGATGGGAAGTGTATAGGGCCAAAATTGAGCTGAAAGAAAAACTGCTCAGTCCAAGATACTCAAATGTGAATGATAAATCTTCAAAAATCAAACTCTGTAGTTGATGGTGGGTTCATTGGCTCAAGGCAAAATGATGCTTGTTCTGCTGACCGTTTTATGTGAAGAGGAGAAAAAGTTGAATAAACGTTCCACATAGTTATTCTAGTATATAAAAATGTTTACATTCTTACATGTAAATATATATGTAAATACTTCCCAAAAACATTGAATCATGATCTAGTATTTGGTTTTAAGTATAAAGTATTTGTTGTCACATCCATAAGTAGGTAATGGATAGGTAAAGCAGTTGCCTTGATATACTGTTAGTGGAAGAAATTAAACAATTTTGTTGCTTTTTGTTATATTAGAACTGTTAATCCACACAATTTTTTTGTATTGGTATATGTTTTAAAAGCCTAGTAACTACATTTTAAATTATATTGTCTAATATTTACAATGCAGATCAAAATTATAATTTATGAACATTACCGTGATGGGAAAGACTACTTGGATTCCATTTGAATTCACTCTCTTTTATATTATCTAGAAGGAAAACAAAGTAATGATTTCATCATTGAATGAGTTTCTAAATGTAATAGAAGAATATGGGCTACATCTATGAATCAAGCAAAAATACATACAAGCTCATGTAACATTTATTGAACCTTTGAAATCCAAAATTAGTGTGATATAGATAAGAAAACAAGCCTCTAAAATATTATTCATGTGAGTTACACAGTCCTGCTCTGAGGATTCAGTTACTTGAAGATTTAAACAAATGTTAATACTAGAGTATGGTGCACTGACACAAACAAAGACTCTGTGTGTAAAGAAAGAAGAACAAAAGAAAAACTCTCTGGACAATAACAAAAAAGGTATATATGTACATGTGTGTATATATATATATATATATATATATATATATATATATATATATTTCCCAGGAGTAGATATAGATATAAATATAGATATAGACATAGATTCCCAGGAGGATCTTAATTAGATTGAAATGCAATTTAAAAATTTCCACCTCAAATTATCTTATCCTCCAAGAATTCTTAGGAACCGTAATTATAGTAATTATAGAATTGGAAAATCTCATCAATGGAAGTAAACTCAGCGTCTATCTAATTCTAAAATCTTTTATTCAAGAAATATTGGCGGAGTCCCTCTTATGCACCATGTGGCATACCAATGAAGCAAATCTACAGCCTGGTCATTGAGCAACCCACAACCTGGTAGGAAATATACATGTATATACCAAAGTCAAAATAAAACAAAATATAAGGAGCATTAGTAGATGTATTCACAAAGTGGCATGAGAATCAATTGGTCAAGTTTTCATTTTAAAATGAAGATTAAAATTTTGCCATTAGATATTAAAATATTAAATTCTGTTATGGCATAAATGTCACTTCATGATTCAATTTTGCAACCTGGGCTGTGTGTCCATATTCCCTGCCTGCCAGTTTACTGTACATATAAGAGAACAATTATAGAATAATTATTTCCACTCCCATAGTGTTTGTGGACTCCTTATATTGTCCTAGCTGTTCTCACTATACAAGTTTTTTCATTTTTTTATAAATGATAAGGTCTCAGGTTAAGAACTACTATTTATTCTTGGGTCTACCCTTCTGACTTTTTGCAGAAGATTTTGATGTTCCTACTTCGGAACCACTATTCCATATTGAATGAAATCCCAATAAACAGATATCAGTGAGATTATATGTCTTTGTAACATACAAAAGTCTAGACTAACACACTATTATGGATGAATATATCTGCATTGACACCGGTAAGGCTGTGCCACTGACTAAAATATATTCAAGGAACTTCCCTGAGACATAAGTAAACACTGGCTTCTCTCACTGTTTTGTTTTTTTAGTTCTCCTTTGATTTATTTTATTAGAATTTTGTAGTTTTTAACATAAAAATATTGTACATGTTAGATTTACATCTAAACATTTCAATTTTCTTGACTGACCATAAATGCTATTGTGCTTTTTAAAAATGTTTTTTATTATAAAGATGTGGGGTCAAATCATTGGTTAGGTATACAAATGTTCATTATGCAGGTACCCTTGTTGATGAGGTATGTCCCTCCCCCCCCTAGCAGTTTCCCTCAACTGCCAATCCCAGCATCCCCCCTCCCCTGACAGTTTCCCATTACTGCCAAATGCTTCCTTATCATATTATAATTGTACAAGTCCACTTATGAGTGATAGCATATGGTACTCTGTTCATTGTTTCTGTGATAGATCACGGAGTATGATCAACTCCAAATCCATTCAAGTTGCTGCAAAGTCCATATATTTGTCCTTCTTTATGGCTGGATAATATTCCATTTTGTATATGTACCACATTTTCTTTATCCAGTCCAGCTTCGATGGGTAACATGGTTGGTTCCATGTTTTTGCTATTGTTAATAGAACTGCAACAAACATCAAACTATAAGAAGCTTAAAAAATGGAGGAGACACCCTTATGGAAGTTGGAACTGGCAACCAGTTTCTATTCAGAACCCTAAGGCCAATACCTTAAGAAATAAGATAGACAAGTGGGACCTCATCAAGCTAACGGGCTTCTACAAAGCAAAAGAAACCAACAAAAAAGCAGGGAGACAGCCCACAGAATGGGAAAAAATATTTGCCAACTGTATATCTAACAAAGGCCTAACATATAGCATCTACAGGGAACTCAAACGTGCTGAAAGGAAAAAAACAAACAGCCCCTTTAAAAAGTGGGCAAAAGACATGAATAGACACATCTCAAAAGAAAATATACAGGCAGCCAATAGACATATGAAAAAGTGTTCAGCCTCACTCATCATCAGAGAAATGCAAATCAAAACCACATTAAGATACCACCTAACCCCAGTAAGAATGGTCATCATTAATAAAACAAACAACAACAGATGCTGGCAAGGATGCGGAGAAAAAGGAACACTTCTACATTGCTGGTGGGAATGCAAACTAGTGCAACCTCTTTGGAAGACAGTGTGGCAATTTCTGAAAGAACTAGAAATTGACCTTTCATATGACCCAGCAATTCCCCTATTGGTAATATACCCAGAGAAAATAAAATCATTCTACAAAAAAGATACCTGCACACTCACTGTTATTGATTCAATGTTTTCACTCCATCCCCCCAAATTCACATGTTAAAACCCTAACCCCAAGTGTGGCTGTGTTTGGAGATAGTGTAAGCAACTAATTAAGGTTAAATAAATTCATAAAAGTGGAGTCCTGATCTGATAGAATTATTATCCTTATAAGAAGAAACATCAGAGGTCTCTCTCTCTCTCTCTCTCTCTCTGTCTGTCTTTCTTCTTCCCCCTCCTGCAGCATACGTCAAGGAAACACCACATGGAGACATAACAAAAAGGTGACAATATCTACCAGCCAGGAAGAAAAGAGCCCTCCTCAGCAACACTCTGCTGGACCTTGACCTGGGACTCCCATATTCCAAAACTGGGAGAAAATATAATTTTTGCTTTTTAAGCCATTCAACCTGTGGTATTTTGTTATGTCAGCCTGAGCAGACTAACGTACTCTATGTGAGTAATTGTTACCAATACTACATAACAGCTATTTTTAGTATGGAAAAACAATGTCCACTTTGGATGGGATTATATTTTTATATGCTATGAATAATGTGTTATAAAGAATTATTTTAACATTAAATGCTAACTTTATATGAAATTAGTATTCAAGTGTAAATAATTTAATATATAACATATTGATTGCATATATACACTGTATACACACACACACACACACACACATATTTTTCCCAGAGGTTGTTTTAAACAGTAGCTAAACTGCTGAATGGAGCTAAAGGGCAATGGGTTGTGGGAATGCATAGAAATATTTAGTAACCAGACCTACATCTGAATTATAAAATTATAGACACATGCATAAAAATACAGTGTTTCCTCAAATATTCTCTAATAATTTAGATCAGAATCAGAATTACTCCCATATATCCTCTCTCCATTAATATGATAGTATCAGAAACTAAACTCATCCCAATAGTTGATTTAAATTTTATAAAAAAACGTATAGACAAACATGTTTCTATAAAGTGATTAGTCAAATTAAATGCAACAGAGATTTCCTTTTTGGAAGACATGCACCAACAGTAAAAGTAGAAGATCCTCAAAGGAGAAAAAAAAAAAAAAAAAAAAAAAGAAAATCAGCCAGGAACAAAAGGAGAAAAGCAGTAGAATGTGGTGTCTTGGAAGCCTGGCTTTTCTTCATAGCTCTTACTGAAGAAATGCCCGTTTCCAGGGAAGGCTGCCCATTTCCTATATAAAACATACTGTGGTATCATTAGAGGATGTTTATATCTCCCTTGTCAACTTTGCAGCTTCCAAAATATGATGCATTCGTATAACACATTTCTCCTTCTCTGAATTTTATGTCATCTGGTTAGACTTCCTTCCAGTTTCTTGTCAAATACTAGCCTCAAAGTCTTGCCCTGATATTTATTTGACTTAGGTACTGTCTCAATACTCTCCTCACTTCAAATCTTGTCATTGCACAAGATTATTTCTATATCCTTTGAATAAATCCATCTACATTTACCTCACAATTCCTTAACCATAATCTCTGTCATTTTCACCTACACTCCTACCATGCCATGCCAATGACCAACTTCCATACCTGACACTAACTTGAATTTTTCTTGTTTTTCAATTACAGATAAAATTATCTTGGTCTCTTCCAAAAATGTTACATCCTTGATCACTTTTAGTGCATATATAAACCTCCAGAACGTTCATCTTTATATTTCCTGCCAGTCTTTTGAATTATTTCTTGAATCCACTGACACTTTCCAGTCAAGATCACACATTCTAACAAATGAACAGGTTTTTTTTCATTGTTATTTTCTCTTTTTTTTCTTTTTCTTTCCACTGATTCCGTGTAAAATTATAACCCTGTGAAATGTTATTGTGTGGTTTTCTGCTCACACATTTACACTGTTTTGTTTTCTCATAGAAAAATCACACAATCATGGTAATTGGTATGTATTTCTACAGACTAAAAAGAATGATGCCCAATTTTTCTTCTGACATATATGATTTTAGAAGTTACCAGACATTATGCATTAATCTCACCTACATATCTCACCATTTCTTTCATCATTCTCATATGATGACCTTGACTCATATTTTAGTAGAAACTTCAGTTGAGAACCCCTTTAAGTTGAAGGGCAATGCTGGGAAGTGACATATGAGATCCATGGGGGCAGGGACTATATCTTTTACTTTATTTTTCTACACAATAACATTCAATAAACATTTTTGAAAAATATTATATGCATATTTTTTTCATTTAATCCTGCATAATCAATTTTTACCTCCCTGTCTAAATCATTTTCATCATCATATAGATCTTATTTTTTCCATCTCAAAAGTAGAGGGGGGGAAGCTTTTTACCCCATTTTTTTCTCCCAGCATTGCTCTGTTTCTCTCCTTTTTACAGCAACAATCCTTCAAAGTGCTGTCTATATTTTCTGGCTCCATTTTTTTCTCCTCCT